CACAGTTGTTCAAATATAATATTACAAGTAACTACCTACACCACACACAGAGCTTGAAACTAGAGTTTGTCAATAATTATTATCGTGGACATGGCGTATGTTTATTGAAAAAATTATACCTATACAATGGGTTTTAAAACGAATAGTTGTACCTGCCTACCTAATGTATACCTACCTACCTACCTACCTATATATATATACACTGCAAAGAGCGGATTTACAAAAATTCGTCCAATATTTACAATTTTTGTTATTCATCTATATTGGCATCTATATGATTACGATTGTACACTATATTTATTACTTAACTAATCAATTAAACATAAAAAAAATGTAGGCGCGGTTCATTGGCGTTTTTTTTTTTTTTTACTCATAGCTTATCGTGGTAAATATCGCAAGTCGTATCTGTTCGAACATCGAAAATCGATTATCGATGTTTGTTCTTAATACAGTATGTTATACTTTATACCCATCTGCAGTACAGCACACGGACAATAATGCAATATAGATGTAAAGCACTGTGTATTAGATTATCTGTAAAATAATACACAGTTAACCTTCGCTTGTGCTTTATGCCTTTATATTCAGATTATCACGATGTTATAGCAAACTAAACAAACTATACGTAAAACCCTTGCACCTATAATCTCGGTGCGTCTGTTATCTATATAATATAGCTCTTTCTCGGTTGATATTCATTGTCGATAACGTCGCGTGACATGGTTGTCGGAAACCTGCAAAGGACGTCCATCGAATATGGTTGTAAATATGTCAAATATGCGTCAGGAGTCTTCTTTGTAACGTTGACACACAATATTGTATTTTGCATTATTATTGTAGTAATAACACATTTATATTGTATATATTATAGAGTTATATACCCCTGTGGTTAATAACATTTTTTTTCAAACCCTCTTATTATTATTATAATAGATAGTGCTCTAGCTATTTTCTATATATAGTACAATCGTCTATAACGAAATCGATTTCAGCTTCTCACCCAAGTATATGGTTTGAAAGACATTTTATGTTACATCGACCAACCACGACTTAGAAAGAATAAACTTTTGGTGGTTAGAAACTGAAAAGATTTGGCGAATGCGTTAAATAATGAGTTGTGTAACTTGTGAGTTGTGGGTTATTGACTTTGTGAACGCGTGTTCAGAGGAAGTTATTGTCACACGTTTACACCGAAACAGATTTAATACGTTGTCTCATAAAATTTAAATGTATTTATATACATATATATTGGAGCGCTATAGTTGCAGAGTTAACTGTATATCCTTGGTATCGGAATAAAAGGCGTTTGTTTGTTTMCTTTAAAGGTCTGGAACATCTGGCATAAAATATTTTAAAAACGCTGAGATTTCTTACATTTTATGTAGGCCATTTTATTTGATCATACTGTACAAAAACACGTGTGTTCAAAATCCCTATTGATATAAAAAATGTGATTTCCTATAATAATAATATCATTTCATGATTGTTCTGAAACGAATATTGTTCTGGTAGGTATAAACAAATCTGTATAACTAAATAATTGTAATTTTTCTATTTATTTGATTGTTGTACAATAAACGATGGGAGCCAGGGGGTAAGCAATGGTAACCACAGCCCCCTCCCTGGTTCTCGATAGCACGAAAAAAAAGGTATAAACAAATTTATATAGTATGCAATATTTAATAGTTTTGTTAGAATTTCAAAAAAATATATTAGTGTAAATACCTATAATAATAGCACAAACTGTCGGGAATTTCTTTTAATTCAACATTAGTATATGTACAACTGAACAGGTTACGCCTTTTTAATAATATTTAAATGCAAACTACGCGCATAATATATTTTGATGACATTTCATGACGTCTACTCAATGACCCACATTCGCACAAACCATATACATATACGTATACTTACAGTATTGTTACCATAACCGTAGAGCGTATTAACAAAAACCGTTCAAAAACAACWATCTACCTACTATTATAAGTCCATATACATATATAACTTCTAAAAACGCTACAAATTGTCATTTTCGTCATAATGACGTGACACGGCGAATCCTACGTTTGGTTTCCAAGTCATCCAATTAAAAAAATGTTTAATTCTATTTTRTTCTTTCATAAACGTAATAGGTAAATGAGTATGTATATATAAGTATATTATATTTAAATTTAAATAGTGTCACGTTTGTCTTCAAGACTTACAAAATACATTTTGTTTATATATGTTCATTATACATACATACAGAATACATGTACTGCTGTACTGCTGTCTATATATATATTATATATAGACATGTATTATGCACAAACAAAAAGAAAATTAATTATTTTTTTCAATTTCTCTGCCGAACGGTTTTAAATTGTTATTTGTTAGATTCATTTTTTAAGCTTAAATTTTACATATCTTTTCTTGGTAGAAGTTGCAGAATAATTTATTCGAGTAAGCTGCTTGGTATAACCACTATAACCTATAAGATATTGAATTTCTAGTGTAGGCTTAAAATATTTGTTAAATTATATTATTGAATTGTCCACCCTAATGTTCCAGATGTTGTTTAAATTACACCTATCTTAAGTACTGGGTTCCAACTTGCATAGAAAAATAGTCCTATAACTTGCATTTTCGTAATTATATATTATTATAGTAATTATATATAATAGTCCTATGCTTTTATTGATAAAGCATTGGTATTTCGGCAAACTCCGACCAACGTCTGTGCGTATCACGAATTTATAGCTATAATGTGATTACTTTAATTTGTTTAATTTAAGATAGCATATGGGTCATAAGGACATTGAAATATTAAATTAAAAGCAATTATTGTTGTATTTGTATTTCCAATAAGTATTCTTGTTTACCACAGAAAAAACGATAAATTACGAAATTATGATATAAAAGGAGTATCAATTAAAAATGTATTATTTTTTGTAACATTTAATAATATAAAATATAAATGGTTTAAAATATTATMGCTTTCTTTTTTCTACATTTATATATGCTATATGGCATTTTATATATGCAAATAATAAATTAAAAATTGATTATTCAGTACATCATAATATATTAATATGGATTTATGTAATGATAATATAATGTTATATTCAAAAATGTTCAAATACATCAATTTAAAAATAATAATAATACATTAAATATACTTATTCTATTCTATTCTATTTTATACGTTTCTAATTGTGGTTTCTTTAATTAACAGATATCATCGATTTACATAATTATTTTTGCCCACCAAAATATTACAGATTATTATTTATAATTATTCAAATGCTCTAGGGAAATTTTTTTCAATTTTTAATAGAATTATTATAAATATAAATGTTGACTGTTGGTTGTGAATTTTATAAATTCTTCTTCGYTGTAATCTTAAAAATTCATCCTCATCTTTATGCTAGGACATATAATATATATAAGTTATTTTTTTATCTTAATAAACATAATATTATGTAGGTATAATGATTTTTTAATATTTATTTCATTTCTTCTCTATTATTATATCCACAATTTTTCAGAAACGTGTATTTATTATGGCTATCTGAGCGTTGTGCAATTTTATGTAGGTACCTATATTGTACCTATTTAGTGAACTTCAGAACAACAGATGCATTATTACATTGAATACAAAAATAATTTTACTATTTACCATAAAATATGTATTCGCTAATTTATTAGTATTYAAAGTTATATTCATAGAATTAATTATAAGATTTCTTGTGATTGTTAATAGGACTTGTACAATTTTTTATTTGAGATCTTCTGGAAAGCATATCTATTTTGAATGCATAAAATAACTTGTCATCAAAAGTTTGTATCAATGTTATATCAAGTGTTGTACGAATACGAAAACAATTATTCTGAACATTACAATTGATACTATCATAACATTATTTCATTCATAAAACTAGTGAAATACTTTATTATGTTTATACTATGAAAATAAATTTTAATAATACTACAAGGTATCATGAAATATTGGCCTTATGATTAAATACCTAAACGAATATTCAATTGATTTATTATGCTAAGTTCATTATTATACCGGAATATTCAACACTACCTCCAAGACGTTTCCCAATACAACGTCCTGATTATCCCTAGAAAAAGGATTTAAAAGCTTTTACTGTGCACATATATTAATGGAGCTGTGGCTGTAACGTTTCTCGTTATTATAATGGCAAGTCAACAGTGACTCAATTATAGAATAAACTTCGCATTTATAGAATAAATAATAAATAAAATACATTTGTATATAATAAATTTCAGTTTCTCGTGTTGAAAATAAGTAAATACAAATTACAAATACACGATCAGTGGAGCACCCTTTTATAAATGCACAATAATATTTTTATAACATCGTCATATTATACCTATATACGTACATTCCTGAGAAATACTTATTGTTATTTGTGTTTTCATGTTTGACGATTGAAACAGTTATTTCGCATTGAAAAAAAAATGTGTGTGTAATAGATACTAGGTACCTAACCTAACCTATATATACCTATATATGGGTATATATAATAACTACGTTCGTTTACACAATCTTTTAATATTATATTTTTCACAAAAAAGATCATTTTTTTAAACATTCCACTATCTCTGTCAGGAGTTGAAACAATATATACATATATTTATATAATTAAAAAAAATTGTTCTGGGGAAGTTTCCATGTCCGGAAATCGCGCGTATCCTAATGTCATCGACCTTGATCACAGGCCGGAAGTATATATATATGATATATATACTCTATGCCGCGGTCGTGTGTGTGTTTTGTTGTGTGCCTGGTTTATCGCAAGAACAATATTTGTTTGCATTTATTTAAAATGATCCATTGTAATGACATATTATCATACATTTGTACTTTTTATACTCTGACGAATGCTATAAAAAAAAAAAGACGTGCATGATAATTGTCGTAAATTAATAATAATTTTATGAAAATATTAGTAGTAAATAATAATAATGTTTTATTTTATATTTTTTAGCGTGCGCAGTTGGGTTGCGGTTACAACACGACTGGTGGTAACCAAGGTTTGAACAACCCGAATTTTGGTGGAAAATCGGGCACGGTACCTGGCCATCACAGTGGCCCGCCCGGTATGACCGGCAACTATGCTAGTGGCGCCCCTACACAGTATCATCACAGAGCGACGGCCGGTTGGAATTCAGCGCCCTTACCTGCACAACAGTATCGATACGGAACCGGTCCAGTAACGCAGACCACYATGTCACCGTACACGTCTTACAACCCCAATCCAACTACCGTGAGTATTTTTTGGCTTGTAATATTTTTAAGTTTTTTTAAATTTTATCGAACGTAAAACAGTTTCATACAAGCTCTGATAACTGTAATCATGTACCTATATACGTGCAGACTAGATATTTTGTACTAGGTATTAAAAAAAAATTTCGTACGACTTTGCTGGTATGATATTAACGATTTTTTCGGTTTTGGTTTTATATGCTCGTTTGGTGTTGGTATAGTTGTAAATACTCATGAGTCGCCATTAAATATCTATATTACAATAAAGTCTGCAGGTTGTTATAATAACATMTTTTTTTATTATGCAACTTGCTTAAACATATTCACGTTTGAAGTTGAACTAGATGACTTTAATTGTACATTTTTACGCTCTTCTGGTTTTATAAAATGTCCTTAGCATACTCAGACTTTTATGTTAATCGTTTATTGATTAGAATAATACATATAAGACATAGGTACGCAATATGCATTTATATGTACTGGTCTCGCGCTTATTGTTGAACGGCTTATCTAAAGAGAAGATTGTCTTTAAATTGAGTATAACTAATTCTGACATTAAAAATATGTTATCAGTTACCGCCTACTTCAGTTATAATTTATAGTTATTAATACCCAAGGACAAGTCCAGTGTTAATAAAAATTGAAACCAAGCTAATAAGTAACAATACATTATAAGAATTTCACGATTTGAATGGCATTAAATGTTGAGGTTGGTTAGTGTCAKTAACATTTTTATTTTCATCACTTTTATTAAAATAAATATTTCACAGTTCCCTAAATATTCTAATACATTATATGTGACATTGATATATATTAATTATCGTACAGATAAATACTATAAATAGGCCTCTTCTTGTATATAAATTCGAGTAGAAAAAAAGAATTAAAAAWCATTTTAAATATTTTATGTCAATCACACTATTTTGTTACGTTATAACTGCAGTCAAATATTTCTTTCTTCAACAAATGTCTTCAACGATTCTATATCTACTATCAAATAATACTCAATGCACTCTAAAAAAAAACAATAAATGCTGCCCACTTGTGTTTCGCATGTAATTATATTATATTGGCAGACGAATTTGCGCGAAACCAATAACTGCATATTTTTCTTCTTATTATTATTATTATTACCACTTTATACATACCACATTGAAGTACCTATATGCCACCACTCGCCATAATATAATCACAAACTTATAATATAAACCATTTCTAACGTTTATTTTCCACCATTCAATTGCAGTATTTGCATAAAAAAAATATTGTCCGACTGTTTTTTTTCTCAATTGCATATTTTTGTCTATACACTAAAGTGACGCGATAAGATAAACGATCACGAGTCTAGCGAATCGTATCCGAGACGAAATGCACGTATAAGATGCACTGAGAAACTTTGTAGGAGAGTTATTTCTCTTTAAGACCATATAATATTAGATTTCAAGTAGCGCGCTAGTACTATATAGTGTTCGCTGAAAAGTTATTCGAAACGCGAATGGTATTGTGACGATAAAACATAAAACCGTCGCCGTTTATGAAGATCTGAAATCGCCCATTAAAAGCAATCCTCACGTGCGATGTATGTAAAAATTATTTTGCATATTCATTTGAATAATTTATTGTACAATTTACGATGTGCCGTCGCACCATTACAGTGCCAAGACCATGGTATACTTTATACATTTAAACATAAACATATGTAATATGTACAGCGTTGTATTCTTCTCTGACGTTTTTCGATATTCATTTTGCAACTGTATTTTTTTCTTTACTCATTAAGTTCACGTTTTTATTTCTCACAGCCGAATTTGCTCTGTGTTAGAAATATATTGAGACGTATTTTAATTTTTTACAACATTRGATTAAAATCGTGAATTACTATTTATACTCCATGACTTATATCATATATGTATATCATAATATGCATACTAGTTTATGAGATACGTGTAGTATTTCAAATTGTGTTTATTAAAAATTGTGGGGATCGTGTAGGAACCAAGATAATCCCCTTCATTTTATCACTTGAAATTTAGAAGACTCTGTATTTATATGTTATATATGTGTGTAGTAGTAGTAGTAGCAATAGTAGTAGTARTAGTAGTTGAGACAAACAATGAATATAGTATACCCACATCAAAAATATCAATTTTCTGGTTGTGTTTGACTGTTGATATATATGTACCTGTTTTTGTATCTTTTTCATTTTAACACATCGAAATTACCCCGACCTATAGTGTCAACCATGACATACATTTAAAATGGCTTTTGTCCAAAGCCTTTGTTTAAAAATTCGGCCTTGAGCATTTTTTCCCCTCAACAACTCGAACTCGATGATGTTATTAAATAAAACGTGTAATTTCATCATATAGATACCACATAAAATGCAACTGCAGTTTAAGCTTTAATTGCATTTTTTCCTTCTATTTTGAATGAATTATAACCAAGGTTGACGTCTTTGAAACGTACCGATCTTTCTCTCCCGACTATATATGCTTTAACCCATTCGTTCCACACATCACCTTCACAACTTTAATTTAGACTGCTAGGCTTCAATATACATTCATTTAGGCTCTATTTTGATGTTATATGCAATAGTTATACTAATACTATTAATAATTCGCCATTACAGTGGCATTAATTATTTCTAAGATAAATTAAAGGATAGTGCCCTCGCACTAATATTATGTTGGTATATAAAAAAAGGTCATTATGTGATCTATCATATCCTCCTCGTGTATATGACATGCCATATTGTATTCATATAGCGTTAAGTCATTTTTCGAATTTATTATCTTCGCTTTTTGAAAATGTATCATTGTATAACATTATGAATGAAGAAATAAATTCAATTCTTGTTTGTATATTACCATCAGAAATACGTTTATATATGCTTTTCGAGACTAATTTTTCTAACCTTCATACTCAATAAAAATGGTTAACTAGGACGTACTAGGATTTTTAACTCTCGCCTTTTCGCCTCTATTAATTTTTACATTTTAATATTTTATATTCGTGTTTGAAATAAATGCCACCGGTTATTATCATTATTATTATTCATTCAGCTATCAATTAATAATTGTGATATATAATATTGTATAAAATGTATTATATCAATCTGTTTAAACAATGAGTGCTATTTTTGTATTATATTKTCTTATAGTTATTACTAATAACTTATTAGTAAATGATTTGTAAATAATTAGGTTTGAYACGTACTTTGATTTATATTTCCCGTTTCAATCTGTTTAAAATAATTTCTTATAACACTAGCTATACCTAGTAATTATAGTAATAGATTAAACATGTATATTATAACCATGTTATTCGTACCATATTATTATCATAAATATTTTTTATATTTTTTAAATTGTTTGGTTGAGATTAAATAATGATAATATAATTTAAGTTTGGTTATATTATATGCGAATTATAATATATAATATGTAGGTATTTAAGTAAAATAACTGTCAAATATCTCGAAGTACATTTTTATTTCTCTCCTGCTTTTTTTATTGGATAATCCGTTGTAAGCAATATATTATGTCAAAGGCAAAATGGGTAAAACTTTTCAAACTTATCTAATACCACAGTATTCGAGATTGGTGCTGCGCGAACTTCCGTTACCGCAGCCGWTTTAGTCGTAACCATTTCTAAACGTAGGTATATTAAGGGTATTTATATGTTCAACAACGCGGATGTTGAATATATATTATTGCTGGTGTTGTCTGCTAGTTTAGCTACAGGTTTCACGTTTTTACGTACAGAAAAACCACAGTAAATATATCTGCTTAATAATCATAATATGTGGCTAAAATTCCTGTAATTGAAATATATTTTGTTATGAAATTTTGTCTATATAGCTCAATTAGCAATGATAAACAGAAGATTTTATACATATTAGCTATATATATATATATATATATTATGGGTACTTATAAACCTCTGAAAACTTCCGCGTGTTCGTCCCTAAAACATATATGGTGTGACTGTCGCTCATTTGTTTTATACTCGTCATAACACTCACCTACGCATTATTATATTTATGTTTTACGGTGAACTTGGCCATTTCCAATACTCACGTGTCATATAGTCGCCTTCGCGGAGTATAGTCCTATAGGTATGTAGATATGCGGAATCGTGAACTCTGAAGGCGAACCTGTTCATTACGTAAAAATATATTTTAAACACACTACCTATCGTATGCACGCCATACTGTGTCAAACATGAAACACTCGCTCAAGAGAAGTTCGGTTATATTATTATTATTTCAGTCTGCATTAGAGCGGGCATGTCGATGAAATTCAAGCGCAAAGGGTGGCGCGCGAATGCGCAGCGGAGGATAACGTTTCACACGAAAAAAACACGACTACACACATGCGCCAAATCTCGTTTTATAGGCTTTAACGTACGAAATATTTACGGGTATCGGATTGAATATTATTTTTTTGACACGAGAATCATCTATATACTATATTATATTTATACGGAGTGATCCATATTCCATTTACACTGCTACACTAATATTCCAAATCAATTTTTGTGTTTTTTAAAATAAATTTGTTTATACTTTGAAAGAATATTATACTAATGGTACAGTCTATTGTAAAACCAATAATACTTATACATTTTTATATAAAATACTTTTTCGACTATTTTTTTTATCATTGAGACTTTTAAATATAAATATTTATATATTTTGAACTTTGCATAATCAGAAGCCAAATAGTTTTCCAAAAATGCAGATACAATAACAGCAAATATATTGAATAAATTGCATTTAAAGATTTTATATTTTTCAACGCGATAACGGACCTGAATTTTGGTATATATACCCTTAGCTATTTCGCTCCAAATGCGTGAACCTAAATGCTTAAGAAGAAAATTAAATACTTATTCAGTGTTGGATGTTTGCACGAAAATGTTTAAAAAAGTATGTTACATATTCTGATCATTTAATTAAAAATATAGGTTACTTTAAAAACAAAATTTTAAAATCTTTAT